AAGGTTTAGAAAGGGATACAAGATAATGTGGGGAAAACTATGTTTGGAAAACTTCTTTTTTTATTTTACACTTGTTGTCACCCTGAATTTCATTCTGCAATACAAAAATTGCCAATTTCCTTGGGAAACAATACCTATATCTGTGGTAAGATCTGTTACCCTTGGATGACCGAGTATTGTCCAGGGCTGGTGCTATGTAGCCCAATTAGTGCCAATCATGGCAGCTATAGACCAAAAGGAACACCAGGTAAAAGCCAGTACATACCTAAAACACCAACTAACTCTGAGACAGAGAAGGGAAACCAAACAAGAAAAGGTAGATCTATTCTCTACAGGTGATAAGGTTTGGTCATGGGTCCCTACCTATACGGGATGGGGAATAACACTCATGAACAAAATAAATAATTACACAAACATTTATTGATGATATATACTGGAGAGGAAACTCTAAGGACATTAGGGTTGCTAAATACCGAGACCAGAGCTATTAGAAAACAGCTGGAGATGCAAGAATTAGCTATTGAAAGCATGAGTGCTGCTCTGACAGGTTTGTGTGAGATGACAGAGGATTATGAATGTTGTACTTGGATATATAATACACTAGAGATGAGCGAATTATTCAAAAATTCGATTCGGCTGATTCGGTGAATTCGTAGAAAAAAATCGATTCGAGTCGAATATATTCGCTGCGAATTTAACTTATAAAAGGGTGTTTCTAGGCTTCAGAGAGCCTTTATATTAGTGCAGAACACTGTACCTTTAATTTAAATGCCCTTGGAGTCTGCTGGGGAAGAGAAATAATACTGTCAGTCAGTATGACATGCAGATGAGTGCCGTCGATCTTAGAATCACCGCACACCGCACACTTCACTCATTTGGGCAGTCACGGGGCCAAAACCAGAGTGTGGAGCCACAGTGTGGCGGTGGAGGCAGCAGCAATGGGAGGCCATACAGCACCCTATGACAAAATGGAACCCACCAGCAGTGTGAGGAGACCTGAAAGTGGCACATGGCAGAGTGTGGCGATGGAGACAGCAGCAATGGGAGGCCGTACAGGGACCCATGAGACACTCTGGACCTGGCAGCAGCATGAGGAGGGAGGCGGTACAGGGGCCCATGACAGATTACGGGCCTGGCAGCAGCATGAGGAGTCGGTACGGGGGCCCATGGCAGATTACGGGCCTGGCAGCAGCAATGGGAGGCCATACAGCACCCTATGACAAAATGGAACCCACCAGCAGTGTGAGGAGACCTGAAAGTGGCCATGGCAGAGTGTGGCGATGGAGACAGCAGCAATGGGAGGCCGTACAGGGACCCATGAGACACTCTGGACCTGGCAGCAGCATGAGGAGGCGGTACAGGGGCCCATGACAGATTACGGGCCTGGCAGCAGCATGAGGAGTCGGTACGGGGGCCCATGGCAGATTACGGGCCTGGCAGCAGCAATGGGAGGCCATACAGCACCCTATGACAAAATGGAAACCCACCAGCAGTGTGAGGAGACCTGAAAGTGGCACATAGCAGAGTGTGGCGATGGAGACAGCAGCAATGGGAGGCCGTACAGGGACCCATGAGACACTCTGGACCTGGCAGCAGCATGAGGAGGGCCCATGACAGATTACGGGGGCCCATGACAGATTACGGGGCCCTGGCAGATTAGCAGCAGCAAGGAGGCCGGTACAGGGGCCCAGTGTGAGGAGCCTGATAGTGGTGGCAGAGTGTGGCAGACAGCAGCAATGGGAGGCCGTACAGCACCCTATGACAGCAAATGGAACCCACCAGCAGTGTGAGGAGACCTGAATACGGGTGGCACATGGCAGAGTGTGGCAAAATGGAACCCAGCAGCAGCCGTACAGGTGGCACATGGCAGAGGTGGCGATGGAGCAGCATGCAATGGGAGGCCGTACAGGGACCCATGACACACTGTGGACCTGGCAGCAGCATGAGGAGGCGGTACAGGGGCCCATGGCAGATTACGGGCCTGGCAGCAGCAATGGGAGGCCCGTAATCTGCCAGCACCCTATGACAAAATGGAACCCACCAGCAGTGTGAGGGTGAGGAGACCTGAAAGTGGCACATGGCAGAGTGTGGCGATGGAGACAGCAGCAATGGGAGGCCGTACAGGGACCCATGACACACTGTGGACCTGGCAGCAGCATGAGGAGGCCGGTACAGGGGCCCATGGCAGATTACGGGCCTGGCAGCAGCAATGGGAGGCCCGTAATCTGCCAGCACCCTATGACAAAATGGAACCCACCAGCAGTGTGAGGAGACCTGAAAGTGGCACATGGCAGAGTGTTGTGGCGATGGAGACAGCAGCAATGGGAGGCCGTACAGGGACCCATGACACACTGTGGACCTGGCAGCAGCATGAGGAGGCGGTACAGGGGCCCATGGCAGATTACGGGCCTGGCAGCAGCAATGGGAGGCCCGTAATCTGCCAGCACCCTATGACAAAATGGAACCCTCCAGCAGTGTGAGGAGACCTGAAAGTGGCACATGTTTGGGGCATGATTCATGGCGGATTTAGTCAGTTGTGTCAGGAACTGGTGGTTTGAAATCCAGACTAATCCACGCCTGATTCATTTTCACAAACGTGAGTCTCTCCACACTTTGGGTGGACAGTCGTGTCCTCCGCGGGAGTTACAATACCTCCTGCTGCACTAAACACGCGCTCCGATGCCACGCTACTGGCCGGGCATGACAGCCTTTCAAGGGCAAATTCAGCTAGTTGGGGCCAAAGGTCAAGTTTCGTTGCCCAGTAGTCAAGGGGATTGTCTACCTCGGTTGGCAGGGTGCTGTCCAAGTAGGCCCAAGCCTGTTGTTTGAGGTCCTGCTCCAGGTCCACCTGATGCTGCTGCTGCTGCGGCTGGTTAGTAGTTTCCTCACTGCGCTGGTGAAGAAAGCTACTCATCATCGACTGCAGACTGAGGCAGCCGCTGCTGGTGGAGCTGCCACTGCTCCTACCACCCCACCCCTCCCCTGCTGCCATGGCAGCGGAACGCGAGCGCACAGGGCCCACAGTGTCTGAGGATGGACGTTGGCGCACAAAGGCAGAGACCAACTGACTACATAGGTGGTTTTTATAGTACGTTATTTTGGCCTCCCTCTCAGCAGGTGTGAAAAAGGCCACCATTTTTGAACGGTAGCGAGGGTCCAACAAGGTGGACAGCCAAAAGTCATCCCTCTGTCTGATGGTTATTATTCGGCTGTCGCTACGCAAGCAACCGAGCATGCTATGGGCCATTTGTGCCAAGGAATGCGAGGGACTCCCTGCCTCCATCTCCACAGCATACTGCCACGGTGCGTCTGGGTCCTCTGTCTCCTCCTCCTCCTCTACCAGATGCTCCTGCTCCTCCACTCCTGTCCGCTGAGTGGAAAAAACCACCCATTTCACTCAATAATTCCTGAGCACCAATGTCCTCCTCTACCTCCTCCTCTTCTTCCTGTCCTGCCCCCACAGGGGTCATGTGGCGTTGAGATCTGTGCGCCACGTCTACCGCACCCTGACCAGCCATTGTTAACAGCATTTGTTCCAGGACGTGCAACAGAGGAATGACGTCGTTCATCCCATAGTCCTGCCGACTCACGAATAGCGTGGCCTCCTCAAAGGGCCTGAGCAAGCGGCAGGTGTCACAATGAGCTGCCAATGGCTGACATCGAAGTTACACAGGGGAGTACCTTTATCCGCTTGTAACATCAGGAAATCGGTGATGGCCTTTCGCTGTTCGTAAAGGCGGTTCTAACATGTGTAGGGTTGAATTCCACCTTGTTGCAACGTCGCAGATCAGGCGATGCTGTGGAATTCCGTTCTGCCGCTGCAGCTCAAGGAGGGTGTGCTTTGCGGTGTAGGAATGGCTGAAATGCATGCAAAGTTTACGTGACATTTTAAGGATGTCTTGCAGTGGGATGGTGGATTTTAGGAACCGCTTGACAACCAGATTGAACACGTAAGCCATGCATGGCGCATGGCACAACCTTCCTTGACGCAGAGCAGACACCATGTTCTTTCCGTTGTCGGTCAACCATGGTTCCGATTTTCAGTTTGCGCGGAGACAGCCATCTGTCGATTTCTCTGTTCATTACACTCAGAAGTTGCTCCCCTGTGTGACTACGTTCGCCAAGGCATACCAGGTGCAGCACAGCGTGACACCGTTGCGCCCTGCACATGTGATATGCCGGTCGGGTAATGGGACTTGGCACGGGGGTAGGCGGCTGAGGACACGGCGGAAGAAGAGGTGGTAGAGGCGGACATCTTTGCTGGACCAAGGACGTGCAAACGTGGAGGCAAAAGCGGCGTGACCTGTCCAAGTTGCTGGTGCGGCTGTGCCGGCACCACGTTCACCCAGTGGGCCGTAAATGACATGTACTGTCCCTGACCGTAGTTACAGCTCCACACACGTCGGCGCTGCCGTGCACTTTGGCAGAGACTGACATGCTCAAAGACTGGCCCACCATCTCTTCTACATGTGAATGCAGGGCTGGCACTGCCTTTTTGGTGAAGAAATGCCGGCTTGGCACTCTCCACCCGCGGCGCGGCACAAGCCATCATTTCTCGGAAAGGTGCTGAGTCCACCACTTGGAAAGGGGGGGAGGGACTGCAGCACCAGCAACTTGGACAGGAGGACGTTCAGCTTCTGCACCGTCGGGTGCGTGCTCGCAAACTGTTTGTCTTGGAAACGGATTCCAAGAAAGACTGCTGACGGAATCCGTGAAGAGGAGTAGCAGGAGAAGGAGCATCTGAACAAGCGGAAGATGCCAACGAGCGACAATCCCCTCAGCAGAGGTTGGAGTCCTTGACTGGCTGATAGAGGGCGATTGACGTCGGGTGACGGAGCAAGTAACGGAGGGGTGATGGAGCGGGGGGTGGGGGGCAGAACCGCCGTATCTTTATCACGGTTTTCCCAGGCCACCGAATGGCGACGCTGCATATGCTGACGCAACGCTGTAGTCCCAACATGGGCCCCCTGGCCACGCTTGATTTTCTGGCCACATAGTCGACATACGGCTACGTTTACTTCCTCGGGCGCTTGACGAAAAATTGCCACACCGCCGAGTAGGAAACTTTGCCCCCGCTACTCCTCACTGGCTGACTGCTACTTCTCCGTGCACACCGGCACCACTACTGGACCGTGGTGGTAGGCTGCAGTGGAGCTGGTGCTCTACTCCGTGGCCGTTTGCCTCCACTGACACTGCTGCGACCCTGCTGCCTCCTGGGCAACCCACCGACTGTTTTGCTCACTGCCAAGCTGGCACCCTCTTCTCCTGTTGATGCGGAAGCAATAGCCTGATGAACGACGGGCTGCCAAGTGCGATCAGCCTCATCATCATCAGTTAGGGTCTCTGCCTCACTATAGCCCCTCGGCTGCGTGTGGGTCAGGAGACAGACCTGTCTCTAGACCGGCTACGAGCCACTCTCCTCGCCAGTACTTCTTCGCCTGGCTGCTGAAGAGGCGGATGTCTCCCCCGTTCCTGACCGCCCTCTGTTAGCTCTTCCTCACTGTACAGTGGGGCTGAGCCCACAGCATGCGATACTTCGCTTGGTGAGGGAACACCAAAGGACAGGGGCAGGTAGAGGACACGTGATTTCAGTGGGCTTGCTCCGGGCCATGCCAACTAACGGTTGTGTCTGACGTACCCACCGACCGTTGGCTGTAGGTGTCAGAGGTGACCTGGGAAGAGGAAGACGACCCGAGCCAACCAATCGATGACCGCAGGGTTGTCGGTGGAGACACGACCGCTGGATAACACCGGGAGCACTGGCCTCTGGCTGCGACTAGTGCTGCCTCGACCCCTTCCTCTGCTGCCACGTCTGCTCGCTCCTAAAACATATCCTCCTCTGCCACTCCTCTGCGTGTTGTCTGACATACTCTTTAATTCTATAAGCACCCCAAAAATAACGTAACGATTCTGTGTCCCTCAGTAACAATTCTGTGTCCCTGAGTAACAATTCTGTGTCCTGAGTAACAATTCTGTGTCCCTGAGTAACAATTCTGTGTCTGTCCCTGAGTAACAATTCTGTGTCCCTGAGTAACAACAATTCTGTGTCCCTGAGTAACAAATTCTGTGTCCTTGAGTAACAATGAGTAACAATTCTGTGTCCCTCAGTAACAATTCTGTGTCCTGAGTAACAATTCTGTGTCTGTCCCTGAGTAACAATTCTGTGTCCCTCAGTAACGATTCTGTGTCCCTGAGTAACAATTTCTGTGTCTGTCCCTGAGTAACAATTTCTGTGTCCCTGAGTAACAATTCTGTGTCCCTCAGTAACGATTCTGTGTCCCTCAGTAACAATTCTGTGTCCCTGAGTACAATTCTGTGTCTGTCCCCTGAGTAAAAATTCTGTGTCCCTGAGTAACAATTTTGTGTCCC